ATCAAAATCTCGTGTTAGAACAGCAAATGTAGAAGAAACAGACTTCTGATTATTTTCTCTACGCTATGTTTGGCAGACAAGTAAAATGTAAAGATTTATTATTCTTTAAAGAAAAAGAAAAATTGTTTTTCTGCACATGGAAGATAAATATAACTTTTGGGGTCTATAAAAGCTCTCAAATATTTTCTAGGACATAAACACGAACCTCTGATTTTACATCAATGAAGTGACCATAGATGGTTTACACTTCAATCTAAACACCATAGAAGTTGTCTACTTTGTCTAAGATCTAAGGAAAGATCTCTGCTCTCTTTCGGTATGTGCAACATCGAGTCCTATAAAATAAAAGCTTCCATCGATCTGAAAACCTCTGGTCTTCGGTTAAAGACTGATCTTTGTTTCATGTTCTGTGTCTATTGATCTGGAAGTTGAGGTCGTTCTCATTATCAGCACCGTCTTTCTTTGTCTCTGACTTCTCCTTCATTGCTTCTTTCTCCAGTTTCTTCTTATCAGCCTCGGCCTGTTTTTCATTCTCTTCTCGGGATTTGATGAACGTTTTCATGAAAAGATTCAGAATCTTGGTCACTGCAGATAGGAACAAATGGTCAAGATAGAAATGAGTCTGTTTCATTCGTCCCATAATGGTTTTAGACAATCTAAAAGAAACAGACTTGTGACTGTACCTTGCTCGAAAGGACATCGAGCTGGATCCTCACCGAAGTAATGAGACAAGGAATCTGCATTTCTTCCCTGGTAAATTACATATCAATATTAAGATCGGAACATGAGTTTGAATTGGTGTGTCCTAAAGTAATTCATGAGTTAGAACTCACCACTTCTTTATATAAGGAAGCAAGCAACCTCACTTCTGCTTCAGCGGTATCAAGAAACTCTTTCAAAACCTGAAAACATGAATTGATCTCATTTGAAAACAGCTGCGAAGATTTTGTGGTTCTTATGATAGTCCTGATATATATACATATGAGCAAAATCTAAGAGTATATTTTCACGTGTAGCTGACCTTCCGGAATCCCAGAGAAATTGCACCATCATTTTCTGAAGCCATGAGTTCTTGCTCGACCTTTTCAAGGCCTTTAGTCGCCGCTTGCATTTCTTCAGCCAACGTTTTCAATTCAATCTGCAATTTTTAAGAAACAAAAAAGGCTAGAGTAGAGCAATAAGAAGAGGAGCACCTAACAGAAGAAAAGACATGAATAACAATAGCATACCTTCGAGGCAGCTTCCAAGTGAACAAGATCATTTGCAAAATCCAGTAATTCGGGCATTTTTTCACCAACAAGCTAAAACAGTAAAAAACAAAATAAGGTATTAAACGGTATGTGATGCACTCTGAAAATATTGTGATAAGAAATATAAGAGAGAGACTATTTCTACCTTGCATAAGTAATGCATCAAAGTCATTTTGTTATTTCTTGCACGAGTATCAGACAATTTAAGAAGACTGTCCAGTTTGAACCCCACAGCAGAACCTGCGACACAACACAATACTGTACATCACCAACAGATGCAAACGGGAAAATCATGAAACTGGAAACCAATAGGACAACTTGATACCTCTTGCAGTTCCCTGATTTAAAGCATTCCCCAGTGTTAAAATTGTTTGCATAATCTGACGCAACTTTGCAGATTCCTTCACCTGGTATCATGATAATGATACTTTATTACCAAGATGGAGAAATATAACCAAGACAGAAAATATCTGGCCCTCCACTATACCTCATTAGCAGCAGCGTTTATCGTATTCAGGCAGCTTTTTAAGTCTTCCACCTAAAAAGTTAAAAAAACAAAAAAAGAAACATCGCTTACAACATGTCTTAAGACAGGAGAGACCAAATTAAGAGAGTTTGACATTTCTACCTGAGAAGCAAAGGTAATCTTAAAGCCAAACACTCGTAACTTTGCTTCTATACGTGGGACCTTCATTAGTTCCATGAAAAACTGGTACATTGCGAGGTTAAGAGTCACAACACAGATAATAAAGAAGTATCATCCAAAGCTTTAAGAACTGTAACAAACCTGTTCACACTTTCCAAGCATTTCCTTGTCACCAGTATAATTCTGAAGCCAAGAAAAGTATGAGTTAACTCCAGGCATTAAGGAATTTGAAAGGAAAAAAATCAATAGGATCATTCTTTGGTTCAGAAATCTGATCAAGATTACTGATTATGAAAATAAAATTAGCTAAACCTTTCAGAATGGAAAAACAGGGTTTTTGAAGCCAAACAGAACCTATGAACCTGGTACTAAAGAGAAAATATGACAATAAACTTTAATTACCCTCAACAATTCCATTTCTTCCTTGGTCGGACAAAACTTGATGAGATTTTCAACCTGGTCGATGTCCAGAGCTGACGAATCCAAGGCTAGAACTGCGCTCTAAGATAAGAAAAAAAAGATATAAATTCTCAGCTAGTAGAAATCTGTAAAAATGTAAAAAGAGATTCAACTAAGCAAAATGTTAGTTAAAGATATGTAAACACTAAAAGCCTAGACTTGTACGTTTTTTCTCTTTAAACAACCACTTTTACATTATTGTTTCAATGCTAAAATGATAGGCAGAAAAGATACTAACAGCCAAAAACTTACAAGCATATCTGGTAGAGGAATCTTTATTTTCGTAAGCATTATTTCACAGTTATTTGCTCTTCGCAAGTCAACCTGATACAAACATAGAAAAAGGTTAGAACTGAAATCAAAGTAAACTAAAAAGGCTATCAACGGTGGAATAAATGGAATTAGCAAAGCTATCAATTGTCAACTTTTTCTAGCAACCAAAGAATGGAGATAACTTTAGATCATCAGATAATCATCTAGTTAATGCACACTATATAGCTGTATTTGATACCTGCTTAAGAGATCCCACTCTTAGTAATATTTGGTATTTACAGAACTTTCATTTGCATAGAGTAAATTTTAGATGTGTACAGAGGTGAAATTGAGCTGCCTCACCAGTTGAACTTTCTCAGGTTTGCTGATACTAGAACCCCGGCGGCCTGTGCTTTTCTTGGCAGTGGTATCTGAAACTGCAGAAAAAAGGCTCTCGAGCTCTGATATATCTATTTCAGGGGCCCTGTCATGAAGATATAAAAAATTCATCTGGTTAGTTCAACAAAATAGCAGCTAATGGGAGATAAGCAAACTGCAAGACAGAACTGGAAAGACGATTCACTTTTGGTATATAACTATCAATGAATTATTCGGAGACTATAAATGTCAAGCTAAAACATCTAAAAGAAGGAGAATTCAAGAGGAACCCACCGTGGTTGATTTTCCTGTTTCTGAGTATCAGCCCACAAACTACCTTTTGCTGCCCTCGTAACTTTGTTCCAATGCAAAGGCTTTAGCACGGCTTTCTTAGGTGCAGCAGTAGGCACACTCACACCTCGGCCTCTTCCAAGTCCCGAGGAAGCTTTTCCCCTTCCTGCAGGAGGAGGTGGCGGCGGTGCGTTTGAACCTTTTGCTCCCAGCGGTGGTGGGCCACTACTTGTACCACGACCCAGCATTGGTGGAGGAGGAGGAGCAGGGGTCTTGGATAGAGGTGGTGGAGGGGGAGCAGGGGTCTTGGAGAGTGGTGGTGGTGGAGGCGGAGGGGGAGCACCCAACCTTGCAGATGAAGGAGGAGGTGGTGGTGGAGGCGGAGCAGGGGTCTTGGATAGTGGTGGCGGTGGAGGCGGTGGGGGAACACCTAACCTAGCAGATGAAGGAGGAAGTGGCGGTGGAGGAGGTGGCATGGGAGCATTTGAAATATTAGCCTTA